TATGAATTTACAAGACACATTGTAAATTCAGGCACTTGAATATGAGTGATTTGATCGGGAGATCATTAGCTAAAAATGATTAATTCAATTGTTAACAAATATGAAAGGGGGATGAAATATTTGATTGAATTATGAATGTTAATTAACCGAAGTGAAATTGAAATTCTTAATTACTTAATCCCAAAAAGTCTCCAAGCATTTTAATTTAGTTCAACTTCAGTTAAAATCCAAATTCTTGATTTTCAAATTAAACACCACATTAGTTTAGATTGAAGCAAGATTTAGGATAAAGATTGTAAATAATTAGTATCAATAGATACGATATTTGGACTATAATCCATTTTATTACTTATTATGATCCATGCACTTGCAACTTAAATGAACAATACACACTTATATTCAATATACTCAAAGCATTTTAAATTGGCTCTCATTGAACAACCTTGCAGAAAAATATTCTGTCCCAAGTACGTCCACCACTTTTTCTCATAATTAGCAAGGAAAAACTAATATCGAGAAGAGGTATCAAACTGAGTACCAAATAAAAGTAGTATTCAACTAAATAAAGGAGAATGCTAGTAACAGATTCACATCCTCATTATTCTAAGGCAAAAAAATGTCATTTTCTAAGGCAAAACACTTAAGTGATAAAGAAAACCAACACTAAATTGTTACCTGTCAGTCCACTTGGCTTTATCAGATTCAACTAAAATATGAGCAGCATTTTTTTCCTCAATTTCCTTTAGTGATTCTTCTTGAGTCCTCTGGGGTGCTTGCAAAATGGAAAAAAAAAACTTCCATATCAAATAACTACACGATAAAAGAGAGAAACATTCATATCTTTCAGATAGAAAATGAGCACATAACTGCAGCAACCTTGTGAAATGCATAATGAAAACATTCTGGAGCAATTAGTATGAGAAGTATGATAACACAATACAGCCAAACTATTTTTTTCAAATGGTAGTTTGGTAACCCCCAAATTATATTAGAAACAAACAGAAGCAAAAATATCTACTTCTAGATTCAGAGAATCTAAGAATAATGGAATGCTAAGACCACCAAAAAGAGGACTATTTTTTTTGTTATATAAAAAAAATAAAAAATGAAAGACATCTAAGGCATCAGAAAAAGGCATGCTTCCTCAATATTAGGACAAGTATAATATGGTAAAATCAACCCTAAATTGATGGCAAGTTGACTAGCACTCCAATAGTGCCTTGTACCACACCTTTTTGCAATTAATTTCAATATCTCATCAAGAAAAAAGAGTAACACCTACATACCTTAGCTATCTCTGAAAATACTATTTGGACTGAAAATACTATTTAAGGAAAATGGCAACCGACATGAGCTGCTGGAAAATGGCGACTGACATGAGCGATTTGATCGAAAATAGACTCGACGACGGGATTAGGGCTTCAACATTTGGCGTTTGGCAAGAGAGAATGAGAGAGGTAGAAAGATTCGGGCTTCACTGCTTTAATTGGGTGGATAGAGTTTGAGAGAATTATGAGGTTTTTTCTTTTTCATGTTTTTTTTATTTTTTCATTTTTTTTAATTAGGGCGGGTCAGGTTGGGCCAGTTTTTATTGGTCAATCCACAACCTGACCCAACCCAACCCATAGAAGTAGAAAAACTGAACCCACTTAAAAAATAAGCAAAAATCGACCCAAACATTGGGTTAATTCGGTTCAATCGGTTTTGGCGAGTTGGTGATGATGTTCGTGTGGAGGAACAAACACTTGCGTATATGAAAAGTTTGGATGGTTGGTGATGAGTTTGTTTCGCACATGAATTTTGCACAATTTTAGTTTGATTATTTGCTCGATCTTGCGAGCATAGAACGTTTTTTTATGTATTTGTTAGTGTTGTTTTGAAGATTAGGAAAGACAATGCAAAAAGAGGAACTAAAATGGACGAAGAGATCAAAAATAAAGAAATTAAAGCAGAAAGACAGCGCCTAGGTGCTACAAAACTAAAGAAAAACTGAAATTCGAATCTGAGAGGCAGCGCCCGAGCACTGCAATCATAGCGCCCAGACGCTACCATCAGTGCCTAGGCATTGTAGACGTAGGCGTTGCGTCTAGGACATCTAGGGCGCATTTTTGGGGCGTTTTAAAGTCCATAAAATCCTATTTTCTACACAAAACGGAGGGGCACCTATAAATACATCTTTCTTATACTTTTGAGGGGTTCTAAACACATTGGGAGGCAAGACAACAAAAAAGAGATTCAAAAGAGAAATTCACGCAAAATAGCACCAAGCAATTGAAGATTTGAAGTATTGATTGGAAGATGAAGAAGATCTTGGTGCATAAATTCTACTTTTTCTTCTACATCTTCATTACAAATACAGTGATGTATTCTAAGACAATTGATTGTTTTTCTTCTTGAATTATGAATAGTTAAATTTATTGTTAGGGCGAATAATGTAATCAATTGTGATCATTTACATTCTCTTACTAAGATTCTTAGTTTTTAATTTTTCTATGTGTTTATTTTGCTTGATTTGAATGCATTAAATTATCTGATTAATAATTTGATGATTTTTGTGAATTCTTTATAAATAGAGATATGAATTTAGGATTTAGACCATGTTGTAGAATCTAGTACATTGGTATAACGAGTAGAGATGCCTTTACCTTTTATTGTGGTCATAATTGAATTCCTAGGACAAAGAACTCGTTTAACTAAGTTGAATTTGGATAGAGATATGGAATTTAATTAGTTGAATAGGCTTAATGAGAACTCGAGAGGGGCAAATTGAATACAATAGGAGAATTCGACCGTTTACTACATTAGAATTGAGTTTTAATTTGAGATGTAAAGGTGATCAATATGTAAAGTTATTCTGCCCTAACATCCATTTATTATTTGATTTTCCAACCAATCGTGTCAGCATCCATTTAGTTTCTAGATTTTAGATTAAAACTCAAATCATACAACTTTTAATTTGTTTCCATCAAATAGTAGTTAAAGAAAAAATTGAATTTAGTGCTAGAAAATAGTCCTTGTGGGATCGACACTCCGGACTCTTAGGTCCACTATTACTTGTTACAGTTCGTACACTTGCGAAACTAAAATTAACAACCAGTTTTTGGCGCCGTTGTCGAGAACTATTTCTTTTACTCTTAATTTTTTTTATTTTAACTGTTATTTGATTTGTTTATTTTTCTTTAATTGACAGAAAATTGTGTTCGTTGTATGCTCCATGCCAAAGGTGACAATCTTAAACCATTTGATTCGGAGATAGAACGTACCTTTAGACGAAGACACAAGGAACACAAACAAAAACAGTAATATCAAATGGCTGACAATCAGCAAATCCCTATACCTATCCAGCCGATTGGACAAATGGCTGCAAGAGTGGTGGCACCATCGGAATAGCCGTATTAGAGTGGGGAAATAAATGAAGGAAATTTGTCAGTATCACTGTTCCTGACACCTATAGCAACACCCATGCATTCCAATATTGTGTATTCATATTTTGTGGTGAATAATTTTCAGATCAGGCTAGATTGGATCAACTTGATAAACAACACTCTACAATTCTATGGGCTATCTCATGAGAATCCAAATATGCATATTTCCAGATTTCTCAGAAACTGTCAGAACTTACATGCTTCTGGGGTCAATGAAGATGCTATTAAACTACGACTATTCCCATTTACATTGAGAGATGCTACATTGGAGTGGTTAGATGCAGAGCCTCACGCTAGCATTACTAAATGGGAAGAACTAACCAGGAAATTTTGCAATAAATTTTTCCCACCGGTGAGAGTAGCTAAAATCAGATTGGAGATTCAAACTTTTCAATGGAAAAAGGGAGAAAGCTACCATGAGGCATGGAATAGGTTTAATGAGATGATGAGAAAATGCCCAAATCACAGAATTACTATAGATAATCAAGTGCAATACTTTTATACTGGATTATACCACTGTCAAAATCTTAAGTTGATGCCTCTACTAGTGGATCAATCATAGGAAAATAAGTGCAACAAACCAAGGACCTATTTGAGTTAATTGCCACCACACATTCAATGTTCTCATCAGAAAGAGTGGTACCACCAAAGGCAGCGGGAATGTATGAATTAGACGGTACAACATCTACCAATGCACAGATAGCAGCTTTAACAAAACAAAATAGGTAGAGTTACTTTTAAAATTGTAAACACGTGGAACAAATGCACTAATGGCCAGTTCAGCATGTGAGAATTGTGGGAGAAGTAACGCTACAGAGAGCTGCATGACGCTCACTTCTTCAGAGGAACAAGTAAACTTTATTCAAAAATAGCTCCCGTAATTTCAACTTATATGGGACCAATTTCCAGCAAGAAAAAAGACCAAGTTTGGGGAAGATGTTTCAAAAATATGTGCAGAAGACGGACAAGGTGTTCCAGCAAATTGACATGAACTTTCAAAACCAGCAGGAATCCATCCAGAAACTAGAGACACAAATTGGTCAGATAGCATAACACCTTACAGAACGTCCACAAGGGATATTGCTAGGCAATACAATGATAAATCCTAAGGACTAGGTAATGGCAATTAAAGTAGTGGAGAATGATCCAGCCAAGGCCCCCATGAAAGTTAAAGCATATGTACCTTCACTTCCGTTTCCCCAAAGACTTCGAAAGAAGGCAATGGAGCAAAATAGTCATGTCATAAATACAAAGAATGAGGTACAATCGCCAGAGATCACTACGGAGAGACCCAAAAGAAAAGATGACCAGGGAGTGATTGATGAAGCTACAAAGGTAGAAAAATCTGTACCAAACGCAACTGAAAATGGAGAAAGTACAGAAACATTAGCTGTCAAAGCACCAAGTCTAGACAAAGCTTACATGCCTCCCATTCCCTCTCCTCAAAAGCTCAAGAAGAACAAACAAGACACAAATTATGAAAAATTCCTCGATGTTCTCAAGAAGCTCTAGATCAATATTCCATTTATTGATGCGATACTACAAATTCCAAGCTACGCGAAATTTTTGAAAGAGATGTTGACAAAGAAAATAAAGCTTCCGAAGTTTGAAACTGTGGCATTAGTTGAGGAAAGTAATGCAAGAGTCCAGAGCAAATTGCCTCCTCAATTGAAGGATCTAGTGAGTTTTACTTTACCAATTTCAATTGGGAATTCCTGTTCAATTAACGCATTATGTGACACTGGTACTAGTATTAATCTAATGTCGTATTCTAATTACAGGGAATTAGGACTATGTAAAGTCAACTCAGCATCAATAACGCTACAACTAGATGATAGAACAATCGCAAGGCCATGTGACAAAGTTGAGGATGTACTCGTAAAGGTAGGAAATTTCATATTTCCTATGGATTTCATTATATTGGACATACCAGAAGATCTAGACATTCCAGTTATATTTGGTCGACCATTCTTAGCAACGGGACAAACCCTTATTGATATGGAGAAGGAGAACTAATCTTGAGGGTGGAGGACAAGTAGAAGATATTCAATATTTACACCAAATATGAGAAACCTCCCATTAAAAATGATTGCTATAGAATTGATGAAGAAGAGCCACCTGATCAAAGAAGCTGTCAGAACAAAAAACTTAATTTTCGAGAACTTCTTGGTAGAGACAAGAATGGACAAATCAAAATATGGAGAGCAAAAAATGACTGCATCAATGAAAATTGCACAAATTACAATGATAGAATAACTTGGTTTGAGCCACCATGATAAATCAGCGGCACAAGTCAAGCTAATGACCTAAAAGAAGCACTTCTTGGAAGGCAACCCAAGCTATCTTTCATTTATTTATTTTGTTTTCAAAGTTCTAGGATAGTTTAATTTTTAGCATATTCAGGAATCATCACCCATACACCTTCTACGTACAGGTCTTTGAGTAATTAAGTTGGTTATTAGAAGTTTGAGTTAAGTAACCCTTGGTCCATGAGTTTAATTTTTCAAATTTAATTTTTCAGGAAAATGATATCGTGGAACTCTCAAACCAACATGGACATGGAGAAAATGGGCAAATCTCAAGTTTGGGGATGAATGTGGAAGAAGAGCCGATCAAATGCAACACTAAGACACCACAACATCATATGCAATACTGATATTTCAGGGAAGTCCTCCTTTTCCTTTAGATTTAATATTGAGAACAATGTTTAGTTTAAGTTTGGGAGAGTGTATTATTATTGATTGCCTACATGAAATTTTTTTGAGTTGGACATTTTGTCTTACAATTACGTTTTACTTTGAGATTTGGTGTTGCTTTATGAACTGTGGATATGATGCATGCTAGATTGATTAAAGCTTATCCTTGTAAAACCCAATATCATATGTGCACTAGAATTGAGTCTGACACTGTGATTAAATGAATTGATTCATTTGTTAGATAGGTTGATTTAATTGGACATAGATGCTTTACCTAAACCATGGTAAGTTATTTATCCTTGGACCAAAGTTAGCATAGTTTGGGGGTGACTTTACAATTGTAGGAAGATGTGGATGTGAATTTGGATTCCATGTGTAAAAACTTATGTATGGATTGTCTTAGACTAACATGATAAAACTAGGTGAGAGTCTTAAGTTGGAGGTCGATTTATTTGAATAAGTGTGTGATAAGAGGCATTGCACTAATCAAGGCATATACATTTGAAAATTTTAATCTTTCCTCTGAAACCTTTATGACTCGAGTGATTTAGTTTGCAAGGGTATCTTAAGACCTGGTACCCTGAAAGTCGTCTAACTTGGGAGTCATCGACCTAAAGCTCGCTACAGGAGTCATTTAAAAAGCAATCAGAGATGAAGTTGCACTTGAAAAAATTGTTCTCTTCAAAGCCTTTTTTACTCGGGTTAATAAACCTGTAAGGATATTTAAAACCTGGTACCCTAAAATCTTCTAATTTGAGAGCCATCGACCTAAAGTCTACTACAATGATCATCTAGAAAATTTAATGGAGAGAATTTAAAATAATAATAATAATAAATAAATAAAATAACTTGTCAAAAAAAAAAAAAAAAAAACAAGTGCGTGAAAACAAAAGCACTAAATACCTTGGTTAGACCCTAACACTTATTTGAGGAAATTTGATTGTGATGCAAGATAATTAGCTAGTTGAGTCATGGCGGTCAAAGCAACCAAATAATTGGAAAATCCCTGTTCACTGAAGTGTTGAGTTGTAAATAGTAATGTCCACCTAAACTCGAGAGGGTGAGGTAGTAGTGAAAAAGTGTAAGTTTGGGGGGTGTGTGAATCTTACGAGAAATTTAAGGTATATTTGACCACAGAGGGTTGGAAATTGAAACAACTTGTGCAGTCATGGTTGATTTCTTAATTCTTCACACACACACACATGTCAGTTTTGCACTGGAAGAGTATATATTGATTTGGTATCGTGACTTGAAGCATGTTTATGGAATAAACTTCAAAATCTCAAATCCTGAAGTAAAAAGTTTGATTGTCCAATCAATTATCTTTTGCATGCTTGTGTGCATCGTCCTTGGATGATTTTATTATTTGGTGTGTTTGTTTACTCGAGGACTAGGAAACTGTTGTGTTTTGGGGTATTTGATGAGTTTGTGTCACTCTTGAATTTTGCACAATGAGTACAGAACATTTTTGATATGTTTGTTAGTGTTGTTTTGAAGATTAGGATAGGCGATGCAAAAAGAGGAACTAAAGTGAACGAAGAGATAAAAAAAATAAGGAAATTAGAGAAGAAAAGCATTCGTAGCCCCTTGGCCACAAAACTGAAGAAAAACTATTATTTGAACCCGAGAGGCAGCGCCTAGGCGCTGCGTTTAAATTGACGTGATGCTTAGGCGTAGCATCTAGGTCGTCTAGGGCATATTTTTGGGCCATTTTAAAATCCATAAAAACCCTACTTTCTACACAAAACAGAGGGACAGCTATAAATACATCTTTCTCATACTTTTGAGGGGTTCTTAACACATTGGGAGGCAAGATAACAAAAAAGGATATTCAAAAGAGAAATTCAAGGAGAATAAGATCAAGCAATTGAATATTTGAAGCATTGATTGGAAGGGGAATGAGATCTTGGTATAAGAATTCTACTTTTTCTTCTACATCTTTATTACAAATCTGGTGATGTATTCTAAGACAATTGATTGTTTTTCTTCTTGCATTATGAATAACTAAATTTATTGTTAGGGTGAATAATGTAATTAATTGGGATTCTTTACATTCTATTATTAAGATTCTTAGTTTTTAATTTTTAAATGTGTTTATTTTGCTTGATTTGAATGCATTAAATTATCTAATTAATAATTTGATGATTTTTGTGAATTCTTTACAAATAGAGATATGAATTTAGGATTTAGACCATGTTGTAGAATCTAGTACATTGGTATAACGAGTAGAGATGCCTTTACCTTTTATTGCGGTCATAATTGAATTCCTAGGACAAAGAGCTCGTTTAACTAAGTTGAATTTGGATAGAGATATGGAATTTAATTAGTTGAATAGGATTAATGAGAACTCGAGAGGGGCAAATTGAATATAATAGGAGAATTCGACCGTTTACTACATTAGAATTGAGTTTTAATTTGAGATGTAAAGGCGATCAATATGTGAAGTTATTCTGCCCTAACATCCATTTATTATTTGATTTTCCAACCAATCGTGTCAGCAACCATTTAGTTTCTAGATTTTATATTAAAACTCAAATCATTCAACTTTTAATTTGTTTCCATCAAATAGTAGTTAAAGAAAAAATTGAATTTAGTGCTAGAAAATAGTCCTTGTGGGATCGACAATCCGGACTCTTAGGTCCACTATTACTTGTTACAGCTCATACACTTGCGAAACTAAAATTAACAACAGTCGACGTTCGAAGAAATTGGCGTAACTTTTGCATACGATGTCTGTTTTGGGCTTATAACCCCATTTCGGAAAGCTCACGACGATTCTTGAATTCGTTTATTTGGTCAAACGACATTTAAAGTTTCGTAGTTTATTATTTTCCGTATTTGTTATTCTCGCTTTGTAGCTCAGCCCATTAAGGGACTGTTGGCCATAGGCTATCTATTCTTTTCATATTTAAGACTCTAAAAATGTCTCCTAGGATTTTTGGTTTTTCATGAAATAAGAAAAACATTTGTTTTTTGCATTCAATCGGCTTGAGTTATTAGTATCATGTGTTTGTAGATTCGATCTATATCAATTGGGTTGGGTTTTTGCCCACCTCTAGTTGTGGTGCTTGAAGTTGGTGAGAGGCAGTAGTGCGAGATTGATGCATGGAGAATGGAGAGGTAAATTTGAGCTGGGAGTTAAGGCCTGCAACGTTTTTCTCTTGGGCTTCTAAATTGAAAGGCCCAACATTCCATAAAAAAAGGTCTAATTTTTGGCAACGTTTAGAAAACGTTTCAAAAAGTATACCTGTTGCAATGTTTAAAAAATGCGAAAGGTATCTTTTGCAACGTTTAAAAAATGTTGCAAAAAGTCTATCTTTTGCAACGTTTAAAAAACGTTGCGAAACGTCTACCTTTTGCAATGTTTATAAAATGTTGCAAAAGATACCTTTCGCAAGCAAAAAATTAAACTTTTCGTAACTTTTCAAAGACGTTACGAAAAACATTTATTTTAAAAATGTTGCCAAAACTCAATTACATTGACTAATTGCAACATTCACTTTTTCAAATGTTGCGATAGACCCCTTTAGCAAAACTTAACTATCGAATGTTGCCTTTTATGTGTTGTAAATGACCATTTTTGGTATAGTGCCAGTTTAATTAATATAATCTAATGTTAACTATTATATTGAATAAGCCTTTCTATTTATAGAGTAGATAAACTAAAAAGAAGTCAAAAGGAAACAAACTCATAATAAACTATAATTTGATCAAAATATAAAAAATAATATTTCCTAATCTAATTTAAATTAAACTCTATTCATAAACTATATTATAATTCTAACTCTATCTTTATCTTCATCTTGATCTTCAACATTTCTCCCTGATTGAAAGAATTCGATTTCAACGAGGTAGACAAGAACATCATACTTCAACGAGGTTGATCTTTTTATTTTAACAAAATATCTATATTGAACCAATGATAACATGTATCTGAACTTTTCCCCGAGGGTGATCTACCAAAAATAAAAATTGAGAACATGACATCAACTGTATCTACAAACCATTCCCAATAATATGAGTTGATCGAGGGGAATGATCTCTCCTTCGAACCAAGTAATAATATGGAAGTCCGAAAAGTAAAAACGTTTGCTACTTATCTTCAAATCTTCAATTGCTTGTGCATAATGAAAAGCACGAGGAACCAACATTATAGATTTACTTATAGAATAAAATGATTGCAACATCAAAGGGTTGAATGGGCCTCGATAAGGAATAATTGTCATTAGAATACCCTAGGTTATATTATACATCAAAAGTAAATTAAAAATTTCATGATAAAAAAGAATTTGTCGTTTATCTTGGCATGAAATTTAGGAA